AAGTCTGAAGACAACTTTCAGGGTTCAGTTCTCACCTTCCATCTTGTTAAAGATGAATCTTGTCCCTGCCTCTGTGCATCATTCCCCAAGATAGCTGGCCTGTGAGCTTCCTTGGATTCTCTGTCTCTACCTCCCATCTCACAGTAGGAGTGCTAGCTGGGATTACAGATGCTCACTACCACATCTGGCATTTTATGTGGACCCTGGTGATTGAACTCAGCTCATCAGGTTTATATGGTAAGTGCTTTTACCCACTGAGACATCTCATTGGCCCCAGAGATGTGATTCTATCTCTCAGAGAGTTAAAGTGGGAAAAGGTACTCTATAATAATATTTTATTCTCACCAAAATGTGGATCATGAATAAGTTAACGTCTCTACTTAAATGTATTCCAGAAATGTCAATTAAACTCTCTACAAGTAGATAATACTTTACTATGGGACAAGAGAAAAAGTAGTTCATGCCAAAATAATTGGCTTCCCCCCTTAGTTACTCAATAAAATGCATGTGAAGTGTTCATTTAAACTTGAAAGCAGGTGAATTTCAGACAGGTTTCCTCCTGAGCAGAAGATGAAACCTACCCTCTGTCTCACCTGGGGACCTTTGATTATTGTGCTGCATCATCTGAGAATGTACAGTGGGCACCTGTTCAAAGGCAGACTGGTTGTCTCTGGGACTCACATGGCTTTTAGAAACATAACCAAGAAGGAATTTTAAAAATGTGTTCTTTATATTAAAGTAATGTTAGGAAACCAGAAAAAAAAAGACTTTGAAGAAAAAAAAATTGTGTTGCTCTTAAGCATGGTTGTAGTCTAGGAAAATCACTCATCAGGCAGACGATTCTGTCTACATAATTGATTTTCAATGCACCAGGAGAGTTCCTCGTTGAATGAGAGGCAGTGTACAATTGTTATAGAATGCATCCTCATCCCATGGCTTATGCTCTGGTCTCCTGGTGCTGTCCAAGTAGCGAGAGCTTCACTTCTTTCTAGCCACAGCAAGTGATGCATTCCATGTACCAGTGATGGAAGCCTTGAACTCATTGCTGATTGATCCCTGGCAATTCTTAGCTGGAAGAAAGTCACATTTAGAAAGGTGTGTGTGTGTGTGTGTGTGTGTGTGTGTGTGTGTGTGTGTGTGTGTGTGTGTTCTCTTCTGCTCTTTCTTAAATTATTGGTTAAGATTTTTTTATTAACATGTCATAGTTGTATGTATTTGTGGAGTGTAATGTGATGTTCTGTTAAGTGCACATGTGACATGATTAAGTCTGGGTAATTAATATCCACCTATTTATTTGCCAGTTTTTCCTGATGAGTCACTTGAAATCTACCTGCCTAGATCTTTGTAGCATATGTCTGATACATGACTGTTGGTCAATCACCCAGTCCTCACATCTGAGACTTTGTGCCCTTTGACCAGCAACTCCCTGTACTTCTTTTTCATGTTCATCCTGTGGTAACTGCAAGGTAGACAGAAAGAAAAAACTGACAAGAGGGCAAGTACTGGGTGGGTGGCAGGCTTTTATTTAGTAGAAAAGCCTATGGATGGGATGCCTTATTTTTAGTTTTCTCGTGAATTTCTATTCCTTTTCTCAAGTGCCAATCCTAATTCATATTTACACCAATAGTGACTACGTGCCCCCTCTTCTCTGTATCCACAACAATGGCTACCTTTACCTTGTTGATAGTTGCCATTACGATTGTTCAAGGTTATATCTCACGATGGTTCTTGTTAAGAATTTATTTTTATTTATTTGTATAT